CTTCCTGCCACGCCTCCCGCGTGGGGACATTGGCCGCACCGGCCGTGCTTCGGTTAAACCGGTGATGCCGGTTGTTCCCGTCGCCTGTGCCGCTGAGCTGGCTGTGTCCGCCCCGTCGGTCCTGTTTATTTAAGAACTTTTATTACCTTAATTGGCTCAAATGCTTTCACTCACCTCGCCGCCTCGTGGCAACCTCAGTCCCCCAGCACGGGGCGCGCCGGCTGCCACCCCGGGGGGGTCCATGTGGATCCCCTCCTTCCCTCTGCCGGATCCCTGGGATCCCGTTGGATCCGTCGCCCTAACGAGGCGTCGTTAGCGTCATGTGCCTCCCTCCCTTCCCGCAGATGGGTTTGCTGGTGGATCTCTCGCCGGAGGGGACGGCGGGGGACAACGCCGGGGATGATGCCGCCGAGCTGGAAGCCGAGCTGCTGGCGCTGGTGGGAGGAGGCCGGGCTGCACCAGGAGAGAAGCCCAAGGGGAAAAGTGAGCGCTGCTGCCGCGGGGGGCTCGCCCGCTGTCGGTTCCTGGGATAGCGGCTCCTGTTGGGTCGTTTCTGCCCCTCCCGGGCCACGCTCCCCTGCCCGAGGGCTCACAGCATCAAAAACCTGGTACGTGGCCCCAAAAAACCTCTCACGCTGCTTCCGCTCCCCCAGCCCCTCTGCCGATGGAGGCGATTGAGAGGATGGCTGCCCTCTGCATGAAGGACTCGGACGAGGAGGAGGAGGGTGATGGCGACGAAGAGCTGGAAGACGAAGACGATCTCATGGTGAGAAGGGGTTGGAGCCCTTGGCGGGGAGCTCTGGTCCCGGCACCTCTGCCCCCGGGGCATCGCCATGTCCCAAAAAAGGACTTTTCGGTCCCGGATCGTCGCTGACGGAGCTCCTGGTGCTTTGCAGGCCGAGCTGCAGGAGGTGCTGGGTGCAGGGGAAGGGAGCGAGGATGCGCCGGCACTGCCCGCCAAGGTACGGCGCGTCTTTTGGCAGCGCTTCTGCCGTGCCGGTGCCGGACCCGGCCCTTTGTAGCCTTCCGTGTCATTTTCTTCATCTCCCTGATGGGGAAACGGTGACTCTGCGGTGTGACCGTGCCGCCCGGAGCGGGGAAAAGGCTTCCCTGGGGGGCGGGGGCAGAGCCGGGCTCCCTCTGCCGCCTCCTCGGTAACGAGCAGCGTTGGAAAATGCGAGTGTGGGGACAGAATTTTTTGGAATCCGTGAGAAATCAGTCCCCGGCAATCCCCGTTTTAGCCGTTCCCAGGCAATCCCGGTCTCTTGGG